GGTATTCAAAGTTAAGTCCCAAAAGTCTATTCTCCAAGTCGGCAGCGGCAGGGCTGTGACAGTTCTCTGGCCCATTGAGTTGATCTCTGATTGACTTAACTCGTGTGCACTGAGCATCCCATTGCTCCCTAAGCACGGAATGCTCCCGGGTGACACCGAAGTCCCCAGTGCCTGAAGACTACGACAAAGCTTGTAAGGATTTGTAGGTTTACACAGGGTCTGGAGATCCAAGCCGTGGAGTGCCGTCCGTCCCCTTAGCTCCCTGGCTTAGAGGGGCAGCTCTGTCTGTTTTTGTTGTTTGTTTGTTGCTGACCTCTTCCTCTCTTTTGTTTCCTCCAACCTGAGCCGAGGAGAAACTGTCTATAAGTGACGCTGCTCGAAGCTCAGGGGTGCCAGCTTGCTCATATTCTCTTTGCATGCTGCCCAAGTGGTTGCTGTCCGGCTCCTTAGCTAGATTCAGCTCTAGGAGGTCTGTGGGGGCCGTTTGTCCTTTTGTAGGCATTCATCCACAAGTTGACAGGGAGACACTTTTTTTTTTTTAAGTACTTGGGTGTTCTGCCAGGTGGGAATGCCATATAGCCACCCAGCATCAGTCCTGTCCCCAAAAAAAGGACTTTCCAGGAACTTATAGAGCCCCAAAAGAACTTGGTCCCTGGTTACACCTTCCACCCATCCCGTCACTACCAGCCTGTACCTGGCCACTCTCACAGCGTTGCCCTCATCCCTATGGCTGGAAAGCTGTCTTGGTTTCTTTCTCTTCAGTGTGAACTCCTTCACTGGGAACCATGACTCCATGCCCCCTTTAAGGACACTTGGTCTATTGGCAAAGGAGAATATCGGGCTGACTTCTGAGACCACAGGCTTCAAGCCCATCTCCCCCTTCTTACCCAGTGTCACTTTCTGAATAACATGTTGGGAGTCGAGACAAAAACATCTGCCAGAGCTAATTGAAACTTTTGTGCGTCTCTCCAAGAGGCTCCTTTAGAGACAAAAGCCCTCTTTATCGGGCCTCAGTCCCCTCTGGGGACAGGACATTGTTTTCCTTGCAGTTTGGAGCCAGTGTGTTATCCATACGGCTTTACCTCTGTCTGAAACAAGGTGTACATGCGATTCAGAGGCAGTCATTACCTCCTGCCTTGTTTTTATTGCCGCCTTGTTTTGTCTAGACCAAGCCATCGCTGCAAGGAATCTGGCTGGAGTCTGCTGGGAAGCTGAGTGTGTGTGAACCAGGGGGCCAGGCCGAGTGGCACCTGCCCATCCCTAAGGAATCTCAGTCTTCCAGCTGGCTTTGGGTTTTCTGCTTCCTTTCCCGAGCCTAAAACAGCCCTGCTGTTGTTCCTTGGAATGAGCATGTTTCTTAGATAATTTCCTGAAAAGAACCGACAGCTGCCCCCAATGAGGTGGTCACATTAGGCCCTTACACTGGGTGCTTCAGCTTTGCTTCTGTCTGAGGACCTGCCTTGCGGGGAGAGAAATGGAATACAAAATTTGGGTGCTTCCAAAAGTCGAAGCTGGCAAGTCTCCCAAGAGCTAGCCTGTGCAGTGTACACAGACCTACATTATGGGGGTGACGTGATGCTGATGATGGTGACGGCGATGGTGATGGTTTGTATTGCCTTCCATTTGTTTGGGGCAATGTTTGTCTGCCCTGGTTGCGTATTATAATAAAATCTCCTTGGAGTTCGAAAAAGTACCTGTAGTTGAACTCCACCCCTGACCAATTATTTCCAACTCTAATGACGATGCTCCGATGGTGGTGATTTTTTACAAGCTCCTCGGAATATTCTTAGGCAGGGCTGAGAACCCCTTGATTGCTTTGCAGCCTGTGATTACAGTTGCTGTGACTTATATCCTGGTAACAATGCAGGAAGTTCAGAATCAATATGTTCGCTTTTGTCCCAGGAATGGGTCCTCAGGCATGGGCTCAGAGCAGAGTTGTTCAAACCAGGCCTTAGACCTGGACCTCAGGACACCAAGCAAAGTCTCTATGCCTCCCCCAGTAGCCCAGAGAAAATTCACTGTCTGAACCTCAGGGCTCCTGCACACACTTAGCCATGCCCACTGTTCGTGACACCTCTACCTTCTCATAATCCAGCTCCAGCCACACACTTTGTCCATTTCAAGACATTCTAACCTGCTTTCCACACACCCGATCACATGAAATGCCCCCCCCCCCCCCGCCCATGGTACTAGGGACTGAACCTGGGGCCTCGTGCTAGATAAATGCTCTAGTCCTTTTTCTGTTTTGAGACAGGGTCTCACTGAGGTGCCCAGGTTGGCCTTGAATTCATTTTGTAACTCAGGCTTTCCTTAGAGCTTACTTATTTGCGGGGTGGGGGTTAGTTTTTCGAGACAGGGTTTCTCTGTGCAGCCCTGGTTGTCCTGGAACTCGCTCTGTAGACCAGGCTGGCCTCAAACTCAGAGATCTGGCTGCCTCTACCTCTTGAGTGCTGGGGTTACAGGCAGGCACCATTGCCCAGCTGGCCTTGGATCTTTTGTTTGTTTGTTTTGTTTTGTTTCGTTTTTCTGCTTCAACTTTCTTGAAGAGCTGGCATTTAGAATCTTGAACCACCAAGCCTGGCATACCTGTTTCTCTTCGGTCAACTCCTGGTTCAAAACCAAAACCAACCCTACTTCCCTTTGCCTTCAGTAGTATAACTCTGAAACTGGCTAGACTGACCAGAAGCCATTGTCCTGAGCCACCTCCCTGATAAAATCCCACAATCCATTGCGCAGGGGAGCCTTCATGCGCTGGAGCAATCTGGGAAGTGATGCAGTGGCATTTTACCACAGGGCCTGGAGTCAGGTGGTGGCAGGATCAGCTAGGCCAGGTGCAGTGTGGGGCTTCTCTTTCTTTTCACACTTGCGATGTTATCAGCAGGGGTAAAGACAATAGAGGTGGCTTGTTGCTTGGTTGCTTTAACTAGACCAGTTGGGGGCTACTATAATGCCTGGGCAAATGATAGCAGGGTTTCCTTTTGGGTGGAACCAATCTATTAGACCTCCTTGGTGAGAGGCGGGGCCTGAAGGGACCCTCAGCACTGGGTGGACTCAAGCATGCAGGGCTGGCATTTGAGGAAGAAAGAAGGCTAGAGAAATGTCTGTGGTGGAGGCACCTCAACAACCAAGATAGTTCAACAAGTCTCAGTCATTCTGAGCTGGGTTTGAACTCTGACCCCACTGCTTAGCAACACTATGGCCTTAAATAAGTGGCTTGGAGTCTCTCAGCCTGTTTCTGCCTCTGAGATGAAGATAATATGGTACTTACCTCGGAGGGAGAATTAATGGGGTAATCTAGGCAAGACATTAGCATGGTGTTGTGCCTGTGTAAGTGCTAGCTATTATGACTGGCGTCGTTTTCCCCGTGAGATGTTCTTGCGAACGCAGATCATCTGAAGATGGGCTTTTGACCGGGTCTGTAGAGAGCCTTCTCCTGAAATGCTGGAAATGGGAGGGACTTCCCTTTTGGCCTCTCTTACTTCTCAGGAGCTGTCCTGGAGAAGGCTCGAGGCCAGCTGTAGCCATTCTGGCGGGAGGGAAGATGTTCTAGAGAGACTTGTGCCCCCCCCCCCCTTTGGCCATCGGACCCTTGGAACAATGGTTACCAAGAAACTGGATTTGTGTTGACTCCCAGGAAGGGTCTCTACACAGAGTGACAACCTGTCAGAGCATCTCGCAGGACAGGCTGGAGACGGTGATGAGGGCAGGACCACATCTTGACTAAGGCTACGTGCCTCTTGCCCTCTATTTAAACTTCAATCTTGTGTCCTGACTCTGTAGACAGGTTGGGGAGTCATTGGGCCTCTGTGCCCCTTCTCTTAATATGGTCTCATTGACTAAATCTCCCTTTTCTGTTTTCCTCTATTACTGTTTCCTTGGCCTGCTGGCGAAGGGTGTGGAGCCTGGCTGGTTAGGGCTGTGGGGCCCAGGCTCTGACCCTAACAGCAATGCGGTAGCTGAGGGGCCTGATGTATGGTGCTTTGATGCTTGGTCTTGTTGGGTTTGAAACAGACGGTTTCCGCAGCTCACTGAGCTCTGGATCCTGAACCTCTGAGCTGGCAGCGCCAACGTTTTCCCGCAGACACAACTGTGAGCCCAGGTAGATAGATATATCAATGGTAGTGACAGACACAGTGCGTCTGCCCCAAGCAAGACGCACGCCAGTGAAGGCAAAGAAGCAGGGTCAAAGACAGCAAGAGGAGTTCTGGTTACAAAGTCAGACCCATGGGCTTCAGTCCCACCCACTGATAATAGACTTTCCGAGGAACAGCTGAAGTTTCAGCCTTCCCGACTTGACCTTGATCTTCCAGGCTTATAGGATCATTGTGACCTTCCTTTGAAAGTGACAAAGAGCAGACACAATATTCTTGTAGTGATCTCTCTTGATCTAGTGCTGTGCAAATCTTTTAGAACTGTGTCCTGAGCCAGTACCCTGGGGGAATAATTTGTAGGTGACTCAGAGGCCCCAGGAGACCAAGGCGAAACATCCTGTAGATAGCCTGGAGGGCTGCAGGGTGACTGTGAGTGGCTCAGCCTCACGTGTGTCTTGTAGGTCACTTGGGATGTGGCCGCATCCTCCCGTAGCCCCTGCGAATGGAGTCTTCAGGACTCCAGGCAGGAAACAGGTCTGACATATAGACCAGGGATGGGTAAGATCGGCTTGACTTTTGTCTATGTGGGACTTGTCCAGGGAAGCCCACCTGGGTTCTGACCTTGTCATCAAGCCTTAACCCTGAAGTCTGTAGGGTTTTTTGTTTATTTGTTTTTGTTTTTTGAGACAGGGTTTCTCTGTAGCTTTGGTGCCTGTCCTGGAACTAGCTCTTGTAGACCAGGCTGGCCTTGAACTCCCAGAGATCAGCCTGCCTCTGCCTCCCAAGTGCTGGGATTAAAGGCGTGCACTACCACCTCTCGGCCAGTCTGTAGGTTTTGACCTTGGCTCTGGCTCAGATAATCCTATTCTGTCCTCTCGGCTCAGTGTTGTGTCTTTCTCCTTGTTTTAGAAGTTCCGGGTAGATATGCCTGGCTCGGGCAGCGCCTTCATCCCCACCATCAACGCCATCACCACCAGCCAGGACCTGCAGTGGATGGTTCAGCCCACAGTGATTACGTCCATGTCCAACCCTTATCCACGCTCACACCCCTACAGCCCCCTGCCAGGCCTGGCTTCAGTCCCTGGGCACATGGCTCTCCCCAGACCTGGCGTGATCAAGACCATTGGTACCACCGTGGGCCGCAGAAGGAGAGATGAGCAGGTATGCCCCTAGCTAGGGGAGAAGAACCACGTTGGTAGCTGGGGGAGGGCGGGCCTCGCGAACACTCCCTCGCTGGCGCTTGGGGGAGTTCTTGAGTTGGGGAACACTTAGTGAGTATAAACTCAGTGAATGTGAGCTGTCATGGCTCCTACAGTAGTGCCCTGCCCTGGTCCTGAGTGGGAACCACTAGGTGAGAGCCATAGGACAGGGCTATGAGCACCATGTGTCCAGACCTTTAGATCAAAGCTGCCGTCCTCTTCCAGTTCCTGGAATGTGTGTTCTGGAAGTATCGTGACCTGGGCCTGAGTAGTCTATACAGCTATCGGGGGAGATAGAGGTCACACATCAGGTTCCACTTGTTTTGCCTCCTCCGGAGGCTCAGCTTTGAGAGAGAACTGACTTGGAAGGAAGGATGCAGGCTTTCGAAGATCTCATCTGTCTCCCATCACGGTGCCCCTCCCACGAGGCCGTGCCACTGTGAACCTAGAGAAGGGAGCCCCTCAGCAGTGTGTGTTCCTTTTCAGATGAATCTGATAAAGCCTTGTTAACCGTGGGAGCCTTTGCTCCAGCTCCTGCCTGTTTCTACCCCTGGATCTCCAAGGTTCCCCATGGTCCACCATATCCTAGCACCTTTAACAGGGCGTAGTGATGGACCCAGAGCCAGTAGTCCCAAGAGTGCCTTGAATTACAGGGCTCCCACTCCAAAGACCTGGAAGCTTCCCCAGGAACTGTGTTCATCTGAAAACAAAAGACTTCATGGCCGATAGGTGTTAACATTGGGACTACAGTACAGAGCTCTGGGGGGGGGGGGGCTGTGTATTGTAGACACTGAGGGACAGTTGCATGCGTTTGGGGAGCTAGTGGCCCCTTCTGGGGGCTTCCAGTAGTCACAGGTTACAGGTATTGTAGTAGTGACCACACTGTTCTTTGTAATTGAGCTCCCCATGCTGTATCCATGTTGCAAAGCTTCATTGCCAGATTGTTTCAGGATATAAATATAAAAATGTAATCTATAATATATGTAACTATATAAATGTAAAAGCAATGCTAAGTGGCAGCCAGGCTCCTGTGGGCTAGCATTGCAGCATGGCGTGTCCCACATTTTTTTGTCCACTGGGCCTACTTCACACTGCATTCAGAAGTTTACACCCGGGGAAACTTGAGGAGGGTGCCTCCGAATTTTTCCCCTGAACCTAGCTCTTAGATGAGATCTAGAAGGAAGGGTCCTGCCCAGAGACTGGGATCTACCACCTTCACCTTCAGTTGGGTGTTTTTGATGCCACCACACCACCTCGGTGTGCTTCAAGATCAGCTGTCTGGAGACATCCTTCCTCTTGTGGTAGGGAGGGAGAGAGCCAATCACTCAGGAACTCAGAGGACTGCTAACCACATCACACTGTTTTCTGTGGCGGCCGCATGGTAGAACCTTGGCTCTTGGGGTTCCTGGCTCTAGTGCTTTCTCTGTGGCTTATTTCCACCCCCTCCTCCCTCTCTACCCCAAGGCTTGTCCCAGGAGTCAGCTTGGCCTCCTGGCCTCCCCCAGAGCCTGCCCAGAAGGCTCCTTTGAGCCCAGGGTGGGGACTGAGGAGAAGGGAGGGGAGGGTGTGTGTGGCTTGTGGGTGGGTCCCTGGTGATGTTAACAACACTCAAGCAGTAACCACGTTGATCTCACCACCCCAGAACATTTCCTATGGCGACAGTACCCACAGTTGCCCCACACCTCCCCAGACAGGGAGAGACTTCTAAGGCTAAAAGTTACCTTGGTAGGAGGAAGGCCTGCTTAGGTTTTTTTTTATTCCCTTAGCAGTAAAGGGGTGGTGGTGGTGGTGGTGCTGGGCCTTCAGTGGAGTCCAGGGGCCTGTTAAGTAACCTCAGCCCAGGACTGCCACAAGACCACAGGCTTTCTTGGTAACTAACTTTGTAAGACTTGGACCCAAGACAGGTTTGGGAGTAGGTCTTGGCTGAGTGGTCTTGTGACCTCCCGTAGGGTCATCTCTGTGTGTCTGGAATACACTTATCCACTTTGAGGCCTTTCTTGGCTGCTCAGGACTTTGCAGCCACGGACTGCCAGAGTGGGACGGAGCTTCCTGGGGTCCTGACCTGGGCCCAGCTACCACAGACGACTTGTTCCTCATGGTGCGTCTGTAGTGGGGTAGCCTCTCTCTGGGGTAGCTTCAGCTTTTCCCCAGGTGTCCCTTAAAGGCAGGACTCCGGTCAAGTCATGCTTAGATTCTTTGAAGCCCCTAGCAAAACATAGGCACACAGTAGACATACATCTGCCTGGTAGCTAAACTGGAAGGCCTTCCCTTTCCCCTGAGCTGTGCTTCGGCCCGTGGCCCTCTCCCTGGCAGTGTGTGTGGACAGAGTTAAGAGTGTCTGGCTGGTTTGCCAGAAGGAGCTAATTCCTGATCTCTTCGCAGGGGGGTTTACTTTAGTTCACAGCCCCAACTCCTGAAATTATGTCCCATAATAATAGACAGCCACTGTCAAATAAGCGGAAAGACTGGTTGGTGGGAATTTGTGTCTAGGCTGCTTTTTCTTTTGCCCAGCCTAGCACTGAGGCAAACGCCTCACTCAAGTTGGCAGAGGGTTGGAAATAGAGTGGTGCCCATGCCCCCCCCCATTAATGACAGTGTATCGGCACAAACCCCCATGGGTGGGTCTCACCTGTGTGGAGACTCTACATAATCAAAGGTGGGTGCTGAGGGGTAATTAGCTAGGCTTTGGAGGAAGCAGGTGGGGCCAGGCCCAGCTTGCTGGAGGGGACTCTTCCTTAGCCCAGGCTTCGAATCAGAGCTGACAGACTAATCCTGCCCTGGTGCAGGGCCCCTGAGTTCCTTGCCTACTCTTGTTCTGCTGTCCCTTTAAATGTGCAGCGTCCCCTTGCAGGGCAGATCCACCAACAAGCTCCCTCCAGCAGCCATACAGCCTGCCTACTTGTCTCTTCCCTCCCCCCTTCTCAAAGGACAGGTTGTAGGTCTTACCATCCGGCTTTTTAAAACTGCTGCGAACCCTCCCCACCATTCTGATCATGACTCTTCACCTTGGCCTCTCTAGCTGTCTCCTGAAGAAGAGGAGAAGCGTCGAATCCGGCGGGAGAGGAACAAGCTGGCTGCAGCCAAGTGTCGGAACCGTCGCCGGGAGCTGACAGAGAAGCTGCAAGCGGTGAGGAGCCCTGTGTGGCGCGGGGTTGCCCCAAGATGACTGTGGGCTGCAGGGCTCCTTCCCTTTCAGTCCCATCCTTTTAAGTGTCAAACCGACGAGTCAGGAGAGACGGAACACCCTTTCTTTTGAGCACATGGGTCAACATTAATGCTAAATGAGGGGTGAAAGTCAGGAGAATGGATAAATGAATGTACATGAATCGGCCTCTGCCGTCTGTGTGGGTCTGGAGAGAGGCAGGACCACCTTTTTGGGCCCGTGTGTTTTCTCACTCAGCACTTGAGTGCACTCTGTTCTCAGATCCCCTGAGGCTTCTGGGTAAGGGTTGACAGTTCCAGTGAGCTTGGGCGCATCAATAGCGGCCTCTCCGTGCCTCCTTCTTGGAGTTCCAGTTGCCCCCACACCCAAAACCAGCAAAGGTGGCCCAGCCTGGCTGAAGCACCCTGGTTGGTTTGAGTGGGGTGGGAGCAAGCATCCTCATGCAGACAGGTCACATGTCAGTTTAGTTGTATTTCTTTGGAGCTTCTGCCTAGCCTTCATTGACAGGCAGGGAGGTTTCCCACCTCTACAGCAAGCCGAGAGCTGTAGTCTGTCCTTGTGAGTCACTCTCCTATGCTCCCTAACTGCCCAGACCCGGGGGACCTATGGTCCTGACCTTCCCTCTTCTAAGCTTGGCCTGACCAATGTCCTGTAACTTCCTTCTGTGTCTGGCCCTAAAGGAAGGACAGGACATCTGGTAGAGGAGCTCCCAAGCCCGTGCTGACTCCCTGGGACACAGTGCTCTCAGAGAGAGCAGATGAGCTGAAGAGTTTGTCCTTGGTCCTCACATGGTGACTCACTAGTAGCGAGATTTAGAATCTATTTAATCCTTCCAGGTACAATGTATCTGCTTTAAATGGTTTCCTTTGGGCACATTCACTAGAATATGTACTTGACGAAAGCCACAAAGCTTGTACTCATGGCTTGTGGGGGTGTCAGAGTGGGCATGGGAGTAGACATTTTCCTTCCCGGATGAGGCAGACCAGGGAATGATCAGCTCATCATGGGAAGCGCCCTCAACAGAGCCTTCAAAGGAACCATGCCTTCCCGTGACTCCCCAGGGCATCCCTCACCACCTGCCCAGAGCAGGACTCCTCTGAGACCTCCCTACTTTCCTCCCCTCTTCCCAGAAGTCTCACACCCCGCTTCTCGGCCTCCCCCACGTCCTGACCCAGCTACCCAGCCCCTGAGCCACATCCTCCACAGGAAGCCTCTGACGTTCGTCAGACCCTTGAGACAGACGGAAACTTCTTGTTTTCGCTCCGGAATACACCGCTCTGTGCTTAATAGAGCTCTTGCCCGGATCTCTTCATTTGTGAATGGGAATCTGTGGGAGAGAAAAGTGGGAGGAGACTGGTGACGCAGGCCTCTCTGCTCCCCAGCTACTCCAGTCCACAGCTGTGTATCTGGCTGCGTGTGAAGGAGGGAAGTGGAGGCTTACACAGGTCATCTTGCCATCCTCACGGCTCTTACCAGCTGTCAGGTGCCCCTCTAGTGGGCACTCAGTGGAACTAAATGTGTCCCTTGGTGTCTCTAGGGACGTGGGCTTCAGAAACTGGAGTAGGAAAGGAGGGAGGAGCCAGCAGGGATCAAGTGAGCGTGTATTGTAAGCCGTGTGCTGTTCCAGTACTGAGGGCAGAGGATTGCACATGAGAGTCCATGCTCATGAAGCGTCCAGCCCAGCATCTGTGTCCACTAGTGGGCTGGACTGGTAGAGGAGGAGTGAGCAGAGTGCCCTCTTCTCTGTGAGTAACCCACTCACTCTAACCCGTTGGGGGGCCCAAAGGCAGCACTGGCATCCTGAGGGTTCAGTGCAGTAGCTGGCTAGCATGCAGACTCGAGTCAGATGCACTGGGATTCAAATCTGGCCAACCCTCCCCGCTAGCTCTATAACTCCGGGCAGATGAGTTTCTCTATAACTTCACAGAGCCTCAGTTTCCTCATCTTCAAAATGGGTCGATGATAACGTCTGCTTTCAGAAACTCCTGGAGGGCTGTGTGCATAATTTAGTGGAGTAGTAAGTGCTCAATTGCAGCGGCTCCAGAGGTTAGCTCGCCTGCCCCACAAGCCGACTTTCCTCCTTCAGAAATAAAAGGGACTGTGAGCCTCTGTGTGACTCACACCCAGTTAGCTCTCCGGCTAGGTGTGTGAGACGCTTGTGGTAGGTCACCTGAGGACACCGTGGATCCCTCAGGTCAGCCTGTCCCTCACACCCTTCTCTCCCCTCACAGGAGACAGAGGAGCTGGAGGAGGAGAAGTCTGGTCTGCAGAAAGAGATTGCTGAGCTACAGAAGGAGAAGGAAAAGCTGGAGTTCATGTTGGTGGCCCATGGCCCCGTGTGCAAAATCAGCCCCGAGGAGCGCCGGTCGCCCCCGACCTCCGGGCTGCAGCCCCTGCGTGGTGCGGGCCCCGTGGTGGTGAAGCAGGAACCGCTCGAAGAGGACAGCCCCTCTTCCTCAGTGGTAGGGATGGACAAGACCCAGCGCTCTGTCATCAAGCCCATCAGCATTGCTGGGGGTGGTTTCTATGGGGAAGAGCCTCTGCACACTCCCATCGTGGTGACCTCCACACCTGCCATCACTCCAGGCACCTCAAACCTTGTCTTCACCTACCCCAGTGTCCTGGAACAGGAGTCACCTGCGTCACCCTCGGAGTCCTGCTCCAAGGCTCACCGCAGAAGCAGTAGCAGTGGGGACCAGTCCTCAGACTCCTTGAACTCCCCCACACTGCTGGCCCTGTAACCCTGTGCTCCTCTGGCCAGCTCTGGAGGAGTCGTCATCATTGTCACCTTCCCCGGGGACCAGTACCTTTAAGCGCTCCAGGGTCATGAGGGCAATAGGGGGACCTTGGCTCTGGGGACCCAATGGGACTTAGTGGTGAGGCACTGGTTGATCTCTTAGAAGCCCTGGGACCCCCTCCCCCTTCCCCCATTCATCTTGCAAGCAAATCCTCTTTCTTGAGAAGCTGAGGAGAACTTGGTTTGGTGGACTCCGACATCTCTCCTGCTTCTGAAGCACCTGGAGCTGGCCTGGATAGTTCCTGTCCCTTTGTTATGCTGTTGTCTCTGGAGTGATGGTGTCCTTTCCTGCCCCACCAAGCATGCTCAGTGCCTTTCGGTTTCCCCTCCTCCTCTCCCCCCTCCCCCCCCAGTATCAGTTCCATTCCCTCTGGGTTTTTATGAGATTTGCCGTGACATTTCATCTGGGTGGTCTGGATATTAAAGCGCTTTTATTTCCGGAGCTGGGGGAGCAGGTGACTCTTCCGCTGGGGCGGACATGTCCCGAAGGGACAGTCAAAGTGCAATATTATTGAACCTTCCCTCCCCACACACCCCAGCGCACTGCCGGCTCAGACCACCAGCGGGCTCCCTGAGTTCTACAGGTGCGGCGGTCACCACCGGGCTACACCAAGGACCTTTCCTCCCCAGCCTTGGAGAGAGATGTCCGCCTCTTGGAAGATCAGCCTGGCCAGAAGACAGGGTGTAAGTGCCGACAACCAGGACACAGGTTGGGTTTGCCAAACGCCTAATTACCAAGCCAGGATTAGTGCCAACAAAGCCACGTGGCTGTCCTAGTGAGCTTCCCTTACCTGACGTCTTGGGCAGAGCGTCTCCTGTAATTACTGCCTCGCCATTCTGCGCTGGACCCTTCTCTCCAGACCAAGGAGGTACCCCTTCCTCGGAACAACACACCACTCCAAAGCCCGGCGGGGTCCTGCCCTTCCCCAGCTCTCAGGGTGACACCACCCAGAGATATTGAATGAGTGTGGGCCTTGACCCTCCCCCAATTTTGACCTAATGGCTTCTCTTCCGAGCCCAGGTAGAGTAGCTGGGGTGATGTGTGGGGCTGTGGTTTTGTCTGCAGCAGCAGCCCCCAGGTCCCTAGCCTTTCCTGGCTGCTCTCCTATCAGCGAGGTGTGGGAATCCCCCCTCCCCTGCTCTCAGTGGTCCCTGCCATTGATGAGTGAATGCTTTCCCTTTGATATTTCTGTGGCCCACTCCAGAGTGACCTCCTGACCCGGTAGGCCAGTTGGGAGTCACTGGTTTGAGCCAGTCTTGCTAGGGCTTGGGGTGTCTCTGCCGATTCTAGCTAAGCTAGCATGTGTTCCTTCGCTCTGCCGGAAGAGCTGTGCTTCTCCTGGCTGTCCTGGCCTCCAGCAAGGCATACTCCTGCCCCCGCATCCCATCGCCCCCGCATCGTCTCCCTACTGCATGCTCACACAGGTGTGGGAAGTGGAGTCCGGTTAGAACTGGTCTCTAGCGCTAATGCTCTGACCTAGTGTTTCCACTCAAAAGATCATATCTAAAGCCATGTTACTTGAACCAAGCCCAGTGGTGAAAAATCTGAGTTTTGAGAGGACAGAGACAACTTCACAGACCTTTAAAGACATAGGCCTTTCTCAACCCGAGTTCACAATGTGCCGGCCATGATTTGATCCCATGACCTACTGACATGCATGCAGAATACACAGGATCCAGGAGCCGTGTGGGAAGCCTGCACAGCCCGGGGGAGCTGAAAGAGACGGGGGCAGGGGTTGGCTGGGTAGAGAGGGAGATGTTCAGAGTAATTTCCATATGCTCTGTCCTGTACGTCCTGGCTCTAACTCTGCCAGTCTGGTCTCCCAGAGTCGGAGACGGAGCAGGTGGCTTCCTGACCTTAGACTCCTCCTAGAAACAGGAGATGGCCAGGAGGAGCAAGAGTTGGGTGAATACCCGGGGGTGACCTCAGTTGAGAAACATCTATCATCTCAAGCCAAGCAGGAGCTCTCTCCCTCCTCATGCCCATGGGCGTTTCTGAAGCAAACCTGCTTTTATTCTCTTATTTCCCAAAGTCCCTTTCTGCTCCATCTCCATAGCATGGATATCAACACTGGTCACAGGCCCCATGACTTGGTGCCCCAGTTGGACACTCCTGAGACCCCCCTCCCCGAGTCTGGCTCTCACTTCAGATTGCAAGCTGTGTTGGCATCAGTACCAGAAGGCACAGCCAACTAACCTGGGCCTCAGACCTCTGAGGCATTTCCCCTCCTGACCTGCTTGCTCCATCCTACAGACTCCATGGCTTTCCAAAGACAGATTTCTGAGGGGATAGCTGGATGTTCACACCCAAACTGTGGGAGGAACCTCAGTTGGCTTCCTTCTGACTCGCTGTCAAGTCCCTTCCCGTACATGTCACTCACACATACGCCTGTGCTCCGGAGTCAGGCACCTGGCTTGCTGTCCTGTCTCCAGTTCAGGGAGCAGGGGTCAGGGAAGGGTGCTTGAGCTCAGACAAGGTGTCCCGTCTCCTCCTGTGTGTCCTCAGCTGACGTGAACTTGGGCTGGACTGTAATCAGCTCTGGGTTGGCTTAGGGCAGGCCCTCCTTAATCAGCTAGCATGAAACACAGTCCTCATGGCCACCCAGCCTCTGCGAGAACAGCCCTCCCTCCAGCTGGCTGTCTAGGGACAGCCCTGGCACAGGAAAGAGAGTGGCCCCAGTGAGGGGAGCCAACAGCAAGCAACTGGTCTCCTTGGGGGAGAGAGACCCCGAGTCTGCTTCCCCTTGTCTCCGAGTGCGGAAGAGGGACAGGCTGTGTGAAGGAAGCATCCAGATTCGTTTCTCCCAGTTTTCCTGAGAGAGCAAAAGTGTTCCTTGAGGTGTCACCGTTTACCTTCCACCGTGACTTCCTTCCCTGAGCAGGTATTCATGTGGCCTCTTTAGGGAGGAAAGGAATGAGCACCCACTGTGGACCAGGCACTAAGAGACACTTTTATATTTATCCTCTTTTAAGATGGAACTAAGGGGCCGTCTCCTAGAAGTCCCAAGTAATGGCTAAACAGAAACACTTGGAGGTGAGAGGGCTTTCTTCAAAGACCTCAGGTGGGAGTTGCCTTTAGTCTGGTGGTTCTCAGATACTCATCCCCCAACCCCAGCAGCATCTGCCCACCCCAGGCTCCTCCCACCTGGCCTGTGCTCCTCAGGTGACTGAAGGGGCAACCTGAGTTCTCATAGAATTTGTGGACCAATAGGCTATGTCGTGTGTATGGCTTTCTTCTTTACACGTAAGTAAAGGGGTCTTGCCGCATTCTGCTTGAGTAGTCCTGGCATCCATCTTTAAGCCAGCATCTCACTATTTATTGACTGGGGCGGGGCTCGTGTGTGCTTGTTTGTGTGTGCGCGTGTTTGCATTCGTATTCCCACGCGTGTGAGCGTGTGCTCGTATCCTCCTGCAGCTTTGTTGTTGTTGTTTTTTAAAGAAGGAAAACAAGTGTCCCATTGCTAAGTTGGTGTCTTCTCATGCTTCTAGTGTTTTGGCCTGACCACACCTCACAGAATGTTGGTCTTTGTCCAGTGCTGACGTGTTCAGGAAGAGCTGGGTCAAAGTTTCACAGGGGGTATGGGAAGGGAAAGGGGAGAAGAAATTGACATTTATTTTATTATTTATTTTAAATGTTTACATCTTCTTTGTGTTGTTCTAAGCCTGAATAGAAACAGATAGCATTAAAGTACTCAGCCCCCCCCCACTCCTTTTTTCTAACTTAGGATAATGATGCTTTATTTTGTTTGTTTGTTTCTAAAGTGACTTGTGGACTTGTGCTGTATAAACTGTATTCCAAGGTTCTGTTTTTAAAGATTGATTGTCATTCCTCTGGGGACAGCGGCTGCTAAGAAATCTTAACTAACATTGTACGAGAACACAATGAAAGACCCTGGCCCTGTCTCTCAAAACTTAACTTTCTCTGTATGATTAAAAAAAAAATATTCCATTTATTTTACTTCGTGGTTACTTGATTTTGAGGGAGAAAATATTCAACTGTATAAAGACTAGGTATCAGGGTTCCTTTTGCAGTGGGAGGTGTATATATCGTATTTTGGTATGTAGTGGAAACTCAAGCTCTGTGTCTCTGTATTTGGGATATGTCGATGACGTGAAGTGAAGTCTGCTCTTCGACCCTGGAGGCAAATGAGTCGTACAAGGTTTTATGGCTCCGTGGGGGATTCTAATGACCTTTCTGGGCACCTTTTGTCCCCTATTTTTAAAGTAATGGTGAAACGGCCCTAGTGGAGGGCCCTCTCTAGTCAAACTCTCCAGGCAGGACCGTATGCTCAAAAATCTTTGTATAGTTTTCAAAATTGAGGAGTACCCCTGCTCGGGAGCATCTCTGGTGGTGCGTGTTGTGTTGTTCGTGTGCTGTACGTGACACAAGCCTACAGTATTTGCACTATGAAAAGCTTGTCGGGAGAAGCTTGCTGCTATGGAGGAAAGAACATATTAAAACTTATTTTCCCTTGGGGTGTATTTCGGTTTTATGTTCTCGTTGTTGTTGTTAGCTTTCCCACTTTCCATTGAGTAGCATTTTGTAGAATAAAATGAATTAAGATCAAAGAGCCTGTGGTGGTTGTTCTTTGTCCCCCATCTTCCCCGTCTGTGCTGTGACTACCCTTTGCCTTCTTTCCTCTGTGCCTTGGGCCCCTCGTGGATGAAGATGGGGGAGGGGACTCACCTCACTCTTGGGCTGCAGGGAGAGTACCTCCTGCCCCTCCCATCTGTGCCTTTCTGCTCTTATCCCCCCACCCCCATCCCTTCGCATTCTGTGTCAGGGCCCAGTTCTCAGTCAGCTGCCAACTCCTGCCTACATGTGATCCAGCAAAGGCTCAGGGTATTTGTTGGAAGCCCAGAAAGCGTCAAAGGACCAATTAAATGCACTCAACAGTTGTCATGGTCAGACAGATTGAAGACAGGAAGGAGTCCTGAAAACCGTCAAGACACGCAACTACTTGGTGTGTGGCCTCTCCAGATGTCTTTGGGAAGTCACAGGTCACCACGTATGGAGTGCTCAGCCGTGATCATGCAGCCTTGTTCTGTAGACTAGGAAACCCACGTGACAACGAGCATTGTCCACTGTGCTCCCTCCTCTCCATCTCTGGTCCCAGAAGCAAACCCATTATTAGTTATTGCCCGCAGTGCATGACAATGGGTTATTGATTATTTATTGGTAAAAACCAATCCTAAAAATGATGCCTTTTGCCCTACTGGGCCTCAGGCAATCTCAGTATCTCACCTTTCGGAGGACTCAGGAGATCTGGACTGAGGGTCAGAGACACCCTGAAACCTATGCTTGCCTCTAGTACCTGATGGAGAAAACCATGGAACCTCTCTCTGAGCCTCAGTTTCCTTCCTGTGGAGGCAGAGGAGCAATGATGGTAGGGAAGAAATACCTACATAAGAGGAAGGTTTAGTCCTTCCACTTTTGCAGCGGACCCATGGTATAGAGGAACAAGGCTGCCTAGAAGTCTCACTACTGGGCCTCATGGTGACCTCTTCTGCTTGGGTGGACAGGGAAAGAAATCAGACAGAGCGTGCGATGGTTCATTGCTAGTTGGGTTTTCCTCGTGGGGGTAAACATGAAGGAAACAGCTGTCCAGAGTTCTGTAATACAAGGGTGACACTATCCACAGGGAGGCATTGTGATGATGTTTCTAAGTTTGCCTCTCAGGCCTGGGTTCCTCCATACAGTCTCCATCTTCCAGTAACACGTCACAATCCCCACCTCTTTATCCATATGGCAATTAGAGAAGTTGATGATTGACAGGCCCTTATTAGATGGAGTCATATGCTTCTTTGTACAGCTATAAATGTTTTAACATCCAGACAGTCATTCAGGATTTTATTGAGAAAAAGAAAAAGAAAGAAACCAACAACCAGGATGGCCTCACTGGGTTCTCAAATCCAAGAGCATCTATGAGGGGAATTTTGGAGTTACCTAATGTAAGTCTACATTGAATTGGTCCAAACCACCCCCATAACTTGACACAGATTTTTAACAAGATAGGTAGACAGCCTTTAGACTTACACGGGGTTCAGCAGGAATTATCTTCAGAAAGGAGGCCTTGGCAAAGGGATCAAGAGACTGGAACTAGAGTTTCACTGGTGAATACAACTCTGTTTCTAGGCTTTCTTTGTTAAGGAGGAAACAATCTCCTGGGGTTTCCAGCCCTTTGAGCCATGAGACCACATACATGAAGGCCTTTGAAAGGAAGTTCTAAAATCAGGAAGAAACCAAGTGGTTAAATTCCACAGGCTTTGGTTATAAAGTTGACTGGTGCACTTTGATTACAGTACAGCCATTGGGACCTGGGCTCAACTGCCATCTCTGAAGTGAAGGGTGTGTTTTTCCTTGAGGGTGTATGTGTTTAAAGGATGGATAGGATCCTTGTCTGCGGATAGCCCCATCCCTGCTGCTCCTAGGGCCCCACTGGAACCCACACGGACCGATAGCCTCTCTGCTGTGCACACGGTGCAAACTGTGGCTCTTGAATCTGCCCTTGCCTTTGCAGATAGCAGCTCATCACTTCTTGTGTCATGGTCCCTTGTCTCACCAGGAAGGGAGAGAATTGTCCAACAGTCATCTACTTGGCTTTCTTTGTAGCCAGACCTTTCTAGAGCCTTGAGAAATTGCTGTGGCTGCCTAGTAGGCAGGGCCCCTTTCCTTCCTCTCCAGAAGGGCCCCGGTGGGCAGAGGCCATAGCAAAGCTTATCATAGTCTGTGAGTTCTTGTCTCTGGAAAATTCTACTCATCTGAAAGGGGAAAATGCTTCAGGCTCCATCTCCTGAACAAAAAGACCCTTAACCAAATTAAACACCTTAAAAGTCCTTGTGGAAACCAGAGGAGGAAACCAAGCCTTGCTTGGCTACCAGTAGTGTTCATTCCGGGGAAGACCGTGAGGCCATGCCCCTGTACACTCAAGGCTTCCATTCCCTGCAGAAGAGCAGAGTCTGCATCATGGTGGGAACTGAAGATGCTGTGCACACCTGGACTAGCCCAGCCTGGTCTATTTTGTCTATCTGGTGTTATTAGGCGCTAAGTACTTTTTAATTTTCAATTCATTGAACATAAAACTACCCATTTCAAAGTGAACAGTTCCATGACACTTGTGTCCCCACACTGTGGGGCAACCACTGCCCTTATCTTGTTCCAAAACAATCTCATCACCACGAAAGAAACCTGGTTCATGAAGCAGTCACCTCCTTCCCCTGTCCCGGGCAACCCCCAGCCTGCTGTCTCTGTGGTTTATTTTTAGGTAACATTTCTGAGTATTCCAATAATTCCATTTTCCAAACTGGGGGAAAAAACCAACCAGCATGTTGCAAATAAACTAAAACAACTATTGGTTTGTTATTTATAGACATAGCACCCTCCTTCCCTTGGCCTCATACCTTTCCATATGCCTTCACGTACACGGTCTCATTCAGCCCAGGAGACAAACGTTGCTGAAGGTGTTGGAAAATACCACCTCCGGGAGGAATTCCTTTGCCCTTACGCAGTGGCCTGTCTAACACGCTGGCAAGCACAATCGCCACCTTCATCCACTATACAAGGCAAGCATTCGTTTCCCAAATAAAGATGGAGCAAACCCGTAACCGCTGTCGTTGCTCATTGAGGAGAACAGATACTGCTTCCCGGAAACCTGAGAGGACCACGTTTGAAAAACTGGTGTGCCAGCAAGAGGGTACGCCTCCTGTTCTGTCAGCTCTAAGGGAGAAAGGGGGCTCTCATTCAAAGTTCTGCTTGTGTCCTCACTAAGTGTCCCCCCAAATACCACAAAATGTCCACTTTGAGACACAGCTAGGTCAGACACTACTTGTGCACATTACACAAAGTGTCTGTTTTGTAGTTAAGTTGTTTCCACAGGAAAACTAGAAGTAGCCCTCAAGGAAGTTCCGGTGGGACAGGGAACGTGACCTGTGGCAGGTGGGGGAGGGTACAGAGGAAGTGACTGGGGCAAAGGTAAACGGGACAGTCACTGGGAGATGGAGCAGAGAATAGACGTGCCTAGCAGCCACAAACAGCTGAGCAGAAGGGATGGATGGAGGAAAAAGGCCAGGGAGACTGAAGACTTTGAATGACAGGCGTCTGTCTGTGTCACGTACATAGCCTTTGCACCAAGAAAATAGACTGGATAAGGGAGTCCTAATGTCCGCTCCTCTGCCTATGCCTTCATGGGGTGGGGTACAAGAAATTACAAGTTCACTGAAAAAGAGAAGAGGCACAAGGGGCCATGGCTGCAGGTATCACTGGGGACTTTCCTAAATCTGGGGAAGGGGGTGGGGTCACATCCCAGAATCAATGGTAGTTAACCTGAAAACCCCAAAGTAAGTGGAAATTAGTTAATTTCTAGGTATTTGGCTTCGAAGGTGACAGCTAGTTAGGAGTGGGTGTGCTGGTTTAGGGTTTTTGTCACCTGAGAAGAAGGTGGGTGCCTCAGTTAAAGAACTGCTCCCTCAGCCAGGCCGGCAGGTATGCCTGGGCCACATTTTCTTGATTTCCGAAGGATATGGGGGAAGGGCCGAGCTTGCTGTGAGTGGTACCACACCTGGCCAGGTAGTCCTAGGTTAGCCAAAAGAACAACCTGAGCAAGCCCCGGAGAGAAAGCCAGTAAGATGCATTCATCCGTGGTCTCTTTCTCAGTTCCTTCCTTGAGTTCCTGCCTCGGCTTTCCTAGGTGGTGGACTGTGAGGTGGAAGTGGAAACAAAAATAAACACTTTCCTCCCCTCCTTGTTTTGGTTCATGGCAATTATCACAGGAACAGAAGGCAAGCTAGGCTAGGGGAGGTGAGACAGCTGCAGTCATGCGCAGAAGACAAAGACAAAGGAAGCCTGAACGCAGGACAGGTGGGAAGGGGGGGCAGCAATGGCCTCGAACGGTAGCCATGGAGTCGGGTGGCAGTATGTTCCTGGGGAGGCTGAGTCCCAGACCTTCAGTTCCAG